AATCTACAGGGTGCAAGTAAATTATTAAATGATGATCAGATCATAGCTACATAAAATGCATTGCATTTTGATAGTTTGTTAGAACATTCTCATAAAATTTTCAAAATTGGTATACAAAATTATCAAAATTTTAAACAAATTTCTAAAAGCTCGGTCACAAATTTCAAGAAATACAAACTTTTGTAAATACTTGTAAATTCATCAACTATTAAAACTATTACAAGTTTTTTAAACATTTTTTTATAATTTTACAATTTTTGAAATAAATAAATATATTTCTATCAGAATTTTGTTAATCTTTTAAATTTTTTTTTATTTAAGGAAAATAATTTTTAAAGTTTTTAAAATTCTTAAAGTTTCTGAAAAATTTAGCTCTTAAAATCTCTTAACAATTTGAAAGTTTTTGATATTTATAATAATTTTAAAATTCTTGAAGATTTTTTTTACAACATTTTTAATATATATTTTTAAAATCCTTGAAATAAATAAAATATTTATAAACTTTATTATAGTTTTTAATTGCTATATCTTAGTTTCTATATTTAACAAAAAACACTTTTTAAAAGTAGCTCTTTAGTCTAAGAAATGCGAAAGAAATGTATTAAACTTCTTTATTATATGTGTTTTATTTTCTTAAAATTGAGATGTTCAAAACATATATAAAAATGTTATTTTGTGGACGAACAAATGACAATTTTCTTTGAAATTAATGAAATTTTTTATTTGTAAATTTGGGAGCGCCAATAAAAAAATTTTTTTTTAAATTTCTCGGAAAAATGAAAATTACTTATAATAAGGCATATATAAGGGCTCCGCCTGTTTATAAAAAGAATGACCAAACGAAGGATATAGGGAGAGATCTACTTTTTACTATCTTCTTCTCTTTTTGTCATCGATCCTTTATCTATGACACTCCCATGTTTGTGAACAACCTACGCCCCTCGTTATATACTTTTTCCAAATTATATTATCATAGTCAACCCTCTAACAATTAAAACTGTTATAATTTCTATTAAATTCAATTTTTTGTGTATCACATTAAAAGAATTATTTGCGAAATTTAGAAATATAAATGTTGTTTTTTTTTCATTCTAAAAGTATAAAAATCTGATAAAAATAAAAAAAATCAGAATTTCTGAATAAAAAATTAATCAAATTTATCTTTTAAAGCAAACTTTTAAGAAAATTATTATAAATAAAAATATATATATATATATATATATATATATATATACTCTATATTGAGTTCATCTTAATAATATACGCATGTTTATAATATTATTCAATATTAATTAAATATCAAAAAAGATAATTTTATATATACATACAAACATTTTTAGTAATAATTATAATTTAAAGATTCTGATGATTAAACTATTAATTTAAAATCAACCGATTTTATTTAAGACAATGAGAAAATGATTAATGAGATTCCAAAGAGCTGCAAAATTTCATAATTTTACATTCGCCTAGCAACATGATTTGAATCGAGTCATGGAAGCGATGATAACGAGAGAACGCGCGTACCCGAGCGAGCATATCTCGGGTTATCTGCTTTTTTTGGTGACAGTAACGAGGACCAAAGGAGCGCGCGGAAAATGTTATGTTAACTACGCGAGAGATTAGTGTGACTGGACCACAGGTCATCGGGCGAGAGATAGATTCACGATTAATCGAATTGACCGCTTTTCAAACATTGTTCATGCAAAATAATATATACGAATAAAAATTATTATGAATTCTTTCATTTATATAGAAAAAATATATTTTCGCTCCATTATTGTACCGCGATTGCCATGATTTTCAGGTAAAGTCTAGAAGAAAATTCTCTTCGTGTATATTTATTGTATAAAATAAATATCATTTTTTCATATATTTTATTTATTTATAAAATAAATTTTAATAGCATATATAGCATATATATATAGCAAAAATAATTTTTTTATATGCTTGTTTTATAAATAATAATAATAATAATAATAATACGCACAATCAAATATACGCGTTAAAGATACTTAAATGTTCAAATACTTATAAATACTTTCAATAATTAGCGGAAAGAAAAAAAGGAAAGAAAGTAGAATGGAACGACAGAAGAAAGTAAAAAAAAGAGACAAAGAAAAAGATTTCAAAAATTACGCCTTTGAATATAAATTCTATTTTATTGCTATAATGAATGTAACGGTCAATGCCATCATCTGTATGCTATTAATCGAGACGTCTGGTATATTTTTGTCGTGGCCTACTGATTTACTTTATGAAATCTCGGCTTGGATTCCTTTAAGTCCCAATAAAACAGAATGTTTAAAAGTATTACTATATTCCGAAAGAATTAACAATTGTCTCGCTCATTTTAATACAGTATAGCGTTAGTACGATAAATAATAAGTGATACCTAATTAATTGATTAAGCAAATAATAAATTGACAATGTAGCATATGGCTTACTTCAGAGTTTCTGGATATGTGCAAAATTCGATTCTATTATATTCAAGATATCGTTCTTTATCTTGCATACAAATAATTCTCTTGTAATGTTATGTACAAGCTTGAACATGCGCATGCAATAAACAAATTTGCGATAAATAAAATTCTTCTGTCTCGCATTTTCACTAAGAAACAGTTTTGATCAAAGAACATATCCTTAAAATATAATTTTCACAATTTTTTAATGACTTTAAATCTGCCTATATTTTTTATACGTATATAAGAATAATCGGAAAATGCGATTAGGAAATCTATTATTAACAATAAATTTATGAATTGTTATAGAATGTATGAATTAATATTATCATATTATACACCCACACACGCACATTGTGTGTGTTTTAAATATTATTTCTTCAAATTCCTATTCATTTCAATCTTACATCATATGGTAGTTTATCGATGAAGTTTTGAAATAGTCTGTATATATGTGACAATAGTTCAAACTTACGGAATCATGCGCACTTCCATATTATTCATGAACATGATCGCATGCATAGAAAAAATGCATTTGCATGTGAACGAGAATGGGTCTCTTCAGGTCGGCAAATATCTGATTTTATTTACCGTATGGTTCATTTAAAACTTGAATTGTTTTTTATAATTACACACACATATATATATATATATATATATATATCCATTATTCTCTCTATGCATATCGAATTTATTTTGCTATACCGTTATCATGGAAGCCTCTGGCCCTATTTCGTAAGAACGAATGATGAATGTGCTGCTCCGATAAAATTTTTTGGATTTGGGCTACAGTATAAAAACATTATAGGGTCATCGAGGTCTCGACGCTGATAAGATTATTGACGTCGAATGGTTATAAGTGCATCGGTTATGTAAAATGATATGTTGGGACCAAGATGAATTCTCGAACGACAAAATATATATAATATGGCATGATTAAGTCTATCAAAGATTAATAAGAATTATGTCAAGAGATGCAAAATCAATCTTTTATCTTGACTGTTATTTTAGTTATTGATTAATTATTGACCGATTCTGCGCTGATATCGAAAAATGATCTGATTTTCGAATTCTGCTCTACAACTTTAAGCTTTGATCATTTCGTTAATATCCAAATGCAATCTCAGTCTTTGGAGCAAAATTTGAAATTACTTATAATTGCAGAAGTCGCGCGCATACAGTGAGAGATTTAAGCGATCCTGCGTGTACGTGCATATATTTAATAATTATTAGAATATACGCATAACGATCCTTCAAAAAAATATGTATAAGCTGTTGATTAATGGGCGTGGTGAAGCCAAGTATATATATATACATACAAGTGATATCTGAATGTAAACAGAGCAGCCATATTAGAAATTAATATACACACACATATACATGAAGTAATATCAGATTAATAATAATAAGAATAATATATAATATACAAATATATAAACAATATGGAATTTATTATAGTGTATAAATGTGTTGTACGCATACATGTATATGTATTACCGTGATCTTAATCGGACGTGTAAACCCGTGTAAACCGGTTCCGAAATAAATCGATGATCGCGACCGGATAAATCGAAAGATAATTTTAGATTTAAGTAATTTTATTTAGTAACTTTTATTTATTTAACGCGATAATATTTTATGAATTAAAAGTATTACATTTTTTTTATAAAAAAGGGACAAAATTTATTTTTCACATTCAAAAAATGTGTTTATGACAAAAATTGATTCTGCGTGTGTGTATGCGTACACACTTATAAGCATAATATTTATATGTAGGAAATTATATTTGTCAATATATTCCTAATTTTTTGAAGAAATATATGTCTAATAGCAGAAAATATTAATTAAGAAAATATCGCGTTATTATTATTGATATTTTATCTCGATTTTTAACGGGAGCTACGTACGAAAATGTTCCAAGTACAATTTGATGAAATTTGCTTGAAATGTTGATAAATGTAAATCTGAGAAGATGAAAATGAATTGAAAAAGCAAATACTTGAATCGCAAAACTGATGAGTGGTATATGAATTTGTTGAGATCCAAAATTCTCTAATTGTAAATTAAAGACTGGAAATATCTAACGAAATATATATCGCCAAGCTATCGAGGATTCTTTCAACTCGTGTGCACGACGGCACGTTAAACGCAGTCATTGCCCTAACCGAGCCGAACCGGCCGGCCAGCCAGCCAGCCGGCCGGTCGGTCGGTCGGTCCACCGCGCCGCCACCTGCGCCATTCACGGTCAGCCAATCCCTGTGTCGCCGAAACCGCGTGAAGCATCGTTCTCTTCCCCGTACCTCTTCTTAGCATCCCCATATCATGCCAACGCGGCAAGTCGGATCGCGCGACTCGACGGCTTCTGAACTCTTGCGTGCTCCCGTGCGCACTTCCCCCACATATACAGCAGCGTTGATAGTAGTATGTGGGTAGTGGGAGAGTGCGCTAATGGCACGATAGTAGTAGTCGCGACGGCGCACTGCTACGCGAACACACAGGAAGGGGGAAAGTTGATGGTACGTTGCCAGCCGGTCGACGCGCAACGCGGCCGCTTACGGCTCAGTTCGCTTCGATCGGTCAAGGTGTATCCATGTTATTTGTGTTACAGTTCGTTCTTGCCTTTCGTCTTTCTCGCGTCTTTATTCGCGACGTAACATTGCTTCGTAAAAGGAATGGAAAAGAGAAATTGGTAACACGTTTCGTTCGATGATTCTTTCTGCGATCTTTCTACAACATATTTTCTCTTCATGCGTTCGTACAGATTTAAACTGATCGTATCCGGTGCCAAGGCCTTTATCTCCTCTCCTCTCGTCCTTCGCATTTACTCCTACCTTTTTTTTTTTTTCTATTCGCTCCTCCCTTCTCTCTGCTCGTTATCTTTCCATTCCACCACCTCCTCGATATCGTGTGCTACACGCTTCCGGCTGACAGTGCGCTTTTTAGGCCTGCGCGCGCGACTCGCGCGATGGACGTCGCACTCGTCGCAGTCCCTTCTCTCCTTTCCTTCCCCCTCTTCCAAAAGCGATTCTCTCGATGAACCGCAGATCTCCCCGACGAACGAAGAGGGTGGAGTCCGTCACGGATGTTTCATACGAGATCGTCAGGCTTTTACGATACGACGACCACGACGACGACGACGACGACGACGACCACGACGACGACGACAATGATAATGACAATGACGACGATGACGACGACGACGAGAACGAGAAGGGTATCCCGGGTATCAGATCCTACGCGTTAAAGGACAGGCGCCATGTCGTCGTTTTCCTCCTCAAGCGACCGATCGATCTTCCTCAGCGGCGCAATGTGCGCGCAGCTGGCTGGTATAAACATCTCCTCGGCATCAAGTAAGTGAAGATCGAGCTGAGAACCGAAATCGAGACATCTGATTCAAGTGATTTCTTTAAATACACCATGAAAATATTCTCTATCCACGGAGATGTAGAAATATCTCGCATTTTATACGCGGAATATATATAGAAAAGATTACACACACATATTTTAAACACACACACACACACATCTTTCCTATTCTAAAACTTAACTAATAAACTTTTTACTATTCACGCTTCTAACATTAATTATGATTCTTTTTTTGATAGTTGACTTTTTTTTAAATTTTTCCCATTACAATAAGATAATTTATGCATTACGCAAAAAAATATTCTCGATCGCACTTATAATTGCAGTTACGTGCCTACAATTACAATAAAAATATTACGTATCTTCCACATTTTTGTATGTTAATTGTATGTGAATTAAAGTAAACTTGTAAATCTTGCTATATATTTTATTTTAATTAATCTTCTCGAAGATGGCTTTTTTTTACATTGTTATGAAAAATTAAAATTAGCCGTTGATGTAGGAAAATTCTATGTGATTTCATTTTTTTATCTTGATTCTTCATGACAAAGTTTTCCTATTTTATTTTTAACTCTAAATTTTATATTAAGTTTAGCTCTTCTATAAATATCTCGTATACTACAAAAATATTTTTTATTCATTGTAACAGAATATGTATCTATATATGTATATTTGTGCCCAAAACTCTTTATTAATTCAACCTTTTTAAAAAGATTTTTTATAAAATGCTAGTCCACCAAGATTTGATGCTTTATAAAAAACCTTTTCGTAAAAAGATTGTTTTTATTAAAAAATGTGTAAAATATATAGATATTTTATACACACACAAACTTTTGTGTATCTTAATATTTTATTATCTGATAAACTTTTTTAATTTTGTTAATTGTTTTTCAAGTTTTTTTAAACATTTTGTTGTGAAAATAATTTGCGCATTATAACTCATTTTTCAAACTATCAAAAATAAATCAAATCTTTCATATACGACTTTTGATGTATCTGATATAATGCTTACTAGATAACGAAAAATTATTGTCTGAAAATTGCTTTTTATTTATATTTATTGGGATGCGGACGTGAAAAAATCATTTTTTTGATATGTATGTTGTGTATAAAATATATTTAATTTTTTTTATATAAAATGTAATATATTTAGATTTGTAAGGCAAGTTCTTAAAATTATATTTTTTGCGTAATGTCTATACAAAGTACTTTATTTAGATAGTTATAAATAACATTTAGGGCCGGTTGTTTCAACTTCTCGATAAATTTTACTTGACAGATAGTATATATCTTTGTTTTTTGTTTTCAGATAAATTTTTAATAAAAGACGAACATATGCTATATCTGTCGGATAAAATTTACTAAGAAGTTGAAACAACCGGGTCTTAATGTTATTTATTATTAATAATTAATTTCTCTTTCTTTAATGTATTGTTCTGTTATTAGATAATAATAATGATAATTCTTTAAATTTATCTTTTTTACTATAAAAAATATTAGAATGCATATAATTATACTTTGCAAAATCTATTTTCTTGATGTAAATGTTGATTCAGTATAATTTTTTTTGTGATTTATTCACTTATGCTGTTACAATGCAGTTTTATAATACTGTGTACATATTTTATATTATAGCGTAATACATAAGAGTATATGTAAAGTATATGTAAAATTTAAAAAATAAGTATTTTGGGCACGAATGCTGGTTCGAAGTATAACTCGCTATCAATTACGTAATGGCGAGATAACGCGGTCGCCACGCGGTTTTAACATGGTTCCTTAAAAAATCAGAGATAGATATATTAGACTAATTGTAAGCCAAATATGAAGTACGAAAAATAAGTTGATATCTATATTAATGAATTTGCATTATTTCCTATTAAATTTAAATTAAGTTTTAAAGTGTTAAAAATTAATGTAAAATTAAAAGAAGTTACAAAAAAATATGCTATTACAAACTATCGCTTAAGATTTAGAGTTTCGCGAATATAGAAAATATATATATAACTTCACAATAGTAATTTTGTTGAAGATTCGTGGAGATTTATTTGTTATACTTTTTTCATTTAATATTTATTTTTTTCTTGATAACTGTCAATTCAAATCTACTATTCGTATCAATATTTCATTTATAATAATTTATTATATAGTTTAGTTTTAATTCCCATTTTTCTTTCAGTAAAATTTTAATTTTAATTCGTTATTTATACTCTTTTATTATAGCTTTTTTTTATCTGAACTGATTAAAAACTTACACATACACACAATTTTCTAAAATTGGAGTTAATAAATATTTGAAAATTAAAGTAGTTATTAAATAATTTAAAAAACTTGAAGAAAATTATTAAAGAAAATCAATACATATAAATATAGAAAAATGTGTGTGTGTGCAGCTAATCTTATTGTTAAATAAAACTAATAATGTTAAGAGTACATGTAATTAAAAATGGAATATTTTTCATTGAAAATTCTCGCATTGAACGCATTTCTCTGGGATAAACGGCACACCCAGTTAGTAGTGGTATAGTGTTTAATTATATTAACCACGCTATAGAGCAATATTCCCTGAGTCATTCCTGTTACATATACTTATTTCGTCGCATCACCCTAATTCGTTAGTCTTTTACACAAGCATTTCTACTTTATTATTTCTCAATGAATTTTAAATCTTTTTATTTACGCGAGTATTTTTCTAAAATTACAGATAATAATATCATTAGATTATAAGCGATAATGAACAATCATGTGGTAATTAATAATTTTAACAATAGAGAATTATTGATATATTTATCTTTTGCACACGATTATTTTTGTTAGAAAGATTCAAAAAATGAGGTAAAACTTGATATTAATTATTAATTAAATATACACTGTTATTTAATAAAACCAAATTATATGTATATTACATTATTAATCGTGAAAGTAAAATTTTGAATGAATAATTTTGTGTTTGATAAATTATATATGATAATTTAAATTATATTTTAATTTTCAGATATATAACTAAATTCTTTCGAATAAATTCGAGTTATTTTGAAAACAAAAAAGAAATCAATTTTATATGTATGTATATGTTCGTGTATGTGTAATCAAATATTATTTTTTTTATTTTTGTATTTTATCTTTGATTTTCTATTTTTATATCCTATTTATTAAAATGATACATATTTATGATGAAAGTAATAAGCAGATAATTTTGTGCATTGCGTGAGTATATAAATATTTTTCTAATCTTTTTTTCTCCAAGCATAAATAGAATTCTTTTATTCTCGATTAATTAATTATAAATAAAACAAATATTTCTAGTTTCAACAGAACATCATTGTTTATATGAGACATTAGTATTTATAAAAAAAAAATATATATATACATATATATATTATTACATTTCTGTTATATATTGATATATATTGATATCATACTTATTTATGAACTTAAAAAAAAACAATTTTTAATTCGAAAAATCAAACTTCTTCTATTTCGCCGAGATAAGCAAGCTAATTCATCCTCTGATGAGCAAAGGACAATATACAATATGCTTTCTCCCTTTTTGAAATATAATTTAACAATATACATATAATATTAAAGTGCTTTTTCATATTAAAAACATATTTTCTCAACCAATTTAATTATACAATTAGATCCTCATCTTTTGATTTTTAATCTTTATTCGATTAGCGAACGTGAAACATTTAACATAAAATAAAAAACAAACAATAGAATTATATATGCATTAAAATTAATAAAAATACCATTTCGCTTTCTAAATCATTGCTTAACGCATATATGAATGTCTGCGTATGATATATTCGAAAATATGCTTGAAATGTGAACTTAATATCTAAAAGCTTATATGGCTTCTAGCGTAACTTGTTGGAGCGCGAATGACGAGTGGTAACATGCTCTTATCCTGCGCCGGATAGACGAGCCATCGGCTTGTTTGCTTGAAACGCGTCGAGAGCCACCGCCACGTATGTGCATAGCGCATGCGCGAACGCGGATAGTCTGGCGCCAGCAGGTGCGGTTAAATATAGCTTATGCAACGGTATCTTTCTCCGCTTACTCGCTTGACTCCCTCCGCCTTTTTCTGTTTGTCTCTTTCCTCTGCTATTTGAAAAAAAAACATGGTTGATAATACAATACATAATGTGAAAATATTTAAAAAAATGTTTGAACTTTACTTGAGAATCTGTTCATTTAGCTCCCGATAATCAGTTTATTCAGTTTGTTGCATAACTTATTAAAAAATGAACTTTTGTTTCCAATCCAACCTAATCATAATGAAAAATATGTTCTTATATAGATTTATTTGGCACCGTACTATAACTATATATAGAGTTATAAGCATATATGTATGTGTTTGCAAAAATATATGTATTTATTAATGTCAGCCTTTTATTATATAAATAAATATAAAAAATAAATATAAATGGTTTTGTAAATAAATAAATAAAATGTCGTTTATATGTAAAAGAACAGGATTATTTTCTAAAACATTGTCTCCGCTTTAGAAAAGATGCATTTGGCAATTTTCACAGACATCTTTGACGCAAAATATCTTTTCATTTTCTATATGTATATAAATGCAAGAAAATAATAATTGTTGATGTTAGTGTAATAATTAATATTATAAGTATTATAGTATATAAATATATTATTTATATAAATTTATTTTAAAGGATATTTTGTAAAAGATAAACTTAGTCCAGTATAAGCTTATGATTATAAATCCGTCGACTCATTTGCGTATTTTAATACATGTCATTCATATTGACCAACATGCTTCTTTTGCATCTGCAACAAACATGGAGTCCCAGTCGCGTATCTTGTGTCTTATAACACGATAACATTTCCATTTATATGTATAATATTTCATCTTATTTTTCGCATTTCTATAGAATCAAAGGTCTCCTGATATGTTACAAAAAATTTGATCGACGCAATATATAAAAATTTTTTTTATAATTTTCTGAACAACTTTTAAGGATTTTTCTTCTTGACTATTAAGAAAAATTGTAATGTATTATAATGTAAGTAAAGCGTTTTTTATTACTTGTTTTATCTTTTGTATAATATGTACAATATGTACAAATAAAGAAATATTTTAATTATAATTTTTTGATCAACTTAAAGGAACTATTTTTTTTATAAAAAAATTATTGCAATTTTTCGATTTTATTTATTTATTTTAATATCTTTAAAAAAAAATTTTTTATATATACAAAATATTTCTCACAGATAACGATATACGGGTGTCTTTTTAAACTATTAACTTTTTCCGTTTAAAAATTAGACGCAAATTTCTGTTACAAAAAATAATTATTGATATTGTCCATTTAATTTTCTTAATATTTTCTAAACTTTTTACAATGTATATATTTTTTGAAAAAAATTGGATTAGATATTTTTAAATTATTTTATTATTATTCCTTTTTAATCACATTTCTTTAATGAATTTCTTTACAATATTTCTTTGATAAAAAATTATTTAAAATTTAGAAATCTTATTAATCTATAATTTAAAAATAATCATGCGATAAAACTATTTTAGTAATAATATGACGAGTTATTTCAATATTTCTAGTTTTGTCAATTAACAATATCTTATAATGAGAAATGCATGTACGCTTAGGGAATTTCAGGAATTTTTAGAGAGTTTCAGGCGTTCCCGTTGTAAAACGGTATTCTGTAGACAGAATAATCCATAACTTGTGTCAGAAAAAAAACATTTTTTTCTGGTGTAATATTACACTCACGAAAAGTCTCGAATGAAAATTGTGCATTGGACGTTTCTCAAAATCTTTCTCCGAATATTTTTCTAACCACTCATTTGTCTTGATCTAAAATTGGTATATAATAATATTAATAATACCATTTAATAATTTAATAAAAATAAAAAATTAAATTAAATTTTATTTAATAATAAATATAAATATTACATTGTTGTGCATTTTCAGTTATAATAATTTTTTCGGTATTATTTTATGAATAATATGTAATATATCCTATAAGAAAGTATATATGTATTGCAGTTATAAAAAAATATAACCATACAATTATGTATTTATTTATTTATAAGTTTTTTCTATTAATATATTTTTATATTCTATATAATTAATATAGAAGTAATTAATATAAATCAAAAACATTTTTTTGGAAAACAGACTATTCTAAATAATTTCTCTCTCTCTCTCTCTTTCTGTGAAATTACGACTTTATAATTATATTTTTTATTAATGTCGACAATTTAGGAATGTTATTAACTATTTAATGGAGAAAGAGTGCAATTAAACGAATAAGAAATAAACATTAGAAATAATATTCTCTTTATTTAATTTTAAATAAAAGGTTTAATTACTTTAATTTTAACTATTAAAATAATATGCATTAACAATATTAGATTATAAACGAATATAACAATAAGTTTAAATATTACAAATTCTTAGTCAAACGATATATATACATATATGTATAATTTTTTGAAATAGAGAATATGCGCGAAATTAAAGTGTATCATTATTCATTCAAAGTAATCATACAAAAAAATTATACATTATTTTTTCCGAACAAATATGTATGCAAAAATAGCTAAATTGATAAAATTTGTTTTTTTATACATATATTACAATAATCATTTTAATTTTATTAATAATCATATGTAGAAAGAGATAAATTATTTCGTTTTATTCAATCGCTTATTAGGAGTTTTAAAATAGGTTACATTTTAATAACATTTACGCCACTGCTAAGATTATCGATATATTGATACAGATTGATTTTGGTTTAAACAAGTGTTCTTTTGATAGCTCATCATTGAATATATTTCATTGAAATTGAATTCTAAGAAATCAATACACATTAATATTATACATTACTGTTTATTTTGCTATAGATTTTTATATTGAATTCTGTCTGCAATTAAAAACTTTGTTTTTTTTTAACAACATAAATAATTATAATTGTAAGGAAAATGAAAAAAATTGTGAAAAGTTATATTCATATACTTTATCACACATTTTTCTTTAAATTAATCAATTTGATGAACATGGCGCAAAGAAAATTCATTCGTAAATAAATTTAGCAGATGCAATCATTTTCTTAAGACATGTATTAATTATATGCATTCAATTTGCAACTACTAACATAAAGAGATGCCAATGCGATTAGTTATTTAATACCACCTGCAAGTAATATCGAGCTGTTGTTATATTTATCTTTATAGCTTTACTTAATTCGCAGTTCACAAAAAAGTTTTTATTCATTTTTTTATTAATCGTTTTTATTTAATGAAGATAATAACTATAATCATTTTATATTATATAAAAAATACAGAAATTTTTTTATATAGGCACATATGTGTAATATATATTTGTATTAATTATATTTAATCTTTCTAATAATGCTTAATATTATTGAAATTCACTAATCTTAGTGTGAAAAGATATAATCTAATGCCTATTTTATATATTAAATTTTTGATATTTACATTAATCTAATATCTAAAATATTAAAGAAATTTAATATAACAAATATAATATTACGACGTGCATGTTATTTTCATGTTACCTATATGTATATCTTAAAAGTCTGATGCGACGACCAATTTGGGACTCGCTTTCACGAATATCACCATGACGACACTTGCATATAAATGCAGGCATCGTCTGTAGTTCGAATTTTTTGTAATATTTAAACTTGGCCATCGGACACACACGCAAGAACGGAAAGAGAAATGGAATGTCTCTTTTTGATTCTTTTTATTAATCTTATTTTGTTTTAATATCTAAAGTCTTTTCGCACACACACACATGCAGAAAAATATATATTATACATTAATATAAACGTGCTTATTTTATGAGTATAAATGTATTATTTTTTTATATACAAATTATTTGTTTATTAATTTCGTTTTTATTTTTTAGTAATTTTGATAAGATTTAAATTATCAAACCAAAAGAAATATCCAAAAAAGAAGAAAAAGAAGAGGCAGGCAGAATACAAGAAAATTTAGTTAAAAAGAAAAGATCTTAAGGAGAGCAAAGGTCGCGCCGCTCCACGTGGTCGCAAGATGGCTGCCAGCGATGGAATATCTGTTCACATCTTACCGGGCAGCATTAGATTGGAAGTTAAAACTTCTAATACTGTCAGGTAAAGATGTCGTCAGAATTCCGAAGACAACGATGGAAACGATTAATTATTCAATAAAACAAACTTTGCAACGTCATATAAAGTCTTAACTTTGCGACGTAGTTTTATTTTTTATTAATATTTATAAGAATATAAATTGATGATTGTAAATAAATAAATCTACATTTTTTGTAAATACAAATATAGACAGAAATTGAATCATATGAAACATCTAATATAACAAAATATTTATATACATATATGAAAAACGTATTTACAGAGAGAAGCAAAAATCTTTCAGTTAATTTTACAAATAAAAATAATTAACATTTTCTTTCGCTTTTTATGATTTTGTTATCTTACTAGTATTATTTGATCATCCGGTGGATTTTAATGTAAAAATAGATACGATCAAAATTCAAAAATTTTTTGCGACAATGAAAATTCGTATATATCGAAAAAACATTAGATAACGAATAGAAATAATTATTTAATAAATAAAACCAGCTATTTTATGTTATTTATTATACAAACTATTAATTTATATTATCTACTAAGTTTATTATTAACTAATGCGAAATTCATGAGAATAATGCATAAAATGTTAAAAAGATCAGAAGTGAAAATAAAGGAAAATATGTAGTAAATAAATATATAACTAAGAGAGTTCTATTTGCTTCTGTCTGAAATATCTGATATGATAACCATAATCTTCAGAATCTATGGTCCACATCAATGCCATGTATATCGTTAATATGATGGCCAATAATAATCGATCCATACTGAAAAGAAATAATGTTCATTAGTATAAAATTGATTCTCAACTATTAATTTATTGCAATTAACAATTATATAATATTTAAAAAATAAAATATAATTATACTATTAGTCTAATAAGTTATTAAGAAATTGCTATATATATATATAACTTGAATAAAAAATTATACAAAAATATTAAAAATATACATATATATATATATATATATATAGAAAATTGTAAGAAAAAATGAATAAAAACGTGCTCTCCCTTTACTCTCTCTTTCTATTTCTTTTATTTTTATATTAATTTCTATATATGAATTTTGTTTATATACTTAATTTTATTTTATATACTTTTATATACTTAAATTTTAGATTTATATTTAATATCTCTTTTATGATAAGATTAAACAATCATAAAAATGCAAAGGATTAAATTTGACTCCAGAACTTTACCTCATGAAAGGATAGATCCATAAAATAATGAGAAATCCAATGAAACTAGGATGCCTCATATGTTCTATGTATCTGCGTAACTCTTTAGATTTTGCATCCAGTGGACTGTTCTTTCCAGATACTTTGTACCAAACCTGCTTAAGTCCACAAAGCTCTGCAATGTCCATCATGATACATCCACTGTAAATAATGCACCAAGAAAATACATGGAGACCAGAAAATAGCATCCAGACTGTATCATTGGAAGTTTCAATATTCCATATTTTTAGGGCTGGAGATTGCTGCCACTTATTAATCAAGAAATGAAGACTTGCAGAGCTGCAGGCATTGTAAATACTCCTGCTGAGATATTCGATATGTAGTTTAAAGAAAATTTGCTTGATAAAATCACTGGCCATAACGGAGTGTTGAAAGATGAAAATTGAGAGCAGTGACATGTCTATTAAGAGGGTCCACAGGGTGGACTGTATTGCGTTATCACCTGAAAAAAAGAATTCTAGATTTAACTTTGCAAAAATTATTAATAGAAAGTATATTTATAAAAATAACAAATATACATATATATACACATATATATATACACACACATACAGAGAAAATTATACAATATAAAAGATTATTTTTCATTTGTTTTTAATTTATAGTAGTTTTTAATAATAGAAAAACTTCATAAAAAGATATATTGCGGATCTTAGAAAATAAAACTTTACCTGATACTGTACGAAGACTGTCATCCTTATTGTGACTCGATAAGAAATAGGTTAGATTACATAAAATATAACAAGTATATACAAAACTTGAGGCGCACACAGTTATACTTATTACGTTTAAAATCATTTTCGATAAATATATGACATAAATAAATTATGATATATAACAGTTTTCGTTATAAAAATCTAGTTTTCTACACTCAATACTTCGTTGTGTTATTTTGTCACGAAAAAATTGTACATTTTTGTTGTAAATATGTGACTCGTCACAGAGAGACTCGTCTATAAATAAATCCGACATACAAATACGTACGTAGGTACGTCAAGTTTATTTACATGATGAATGTCATAGATATACGTAATTAACTTAGATACGATATATTCGATCCGCAAATGTATAGTTCGATAATAACGCCCTCTGGGCTGCGTTTGGGAAACGCGCTCATATAATTTAGTTAGGGACTTTTTGGGAACTTGAAAAAAAATTCTCTATTCGATGGCCAATCACGTAACTGTATCCATCTTGTATCTTCTTGCGTTTATGTCACAGTTCCATCTATGTCTTTTATATGTATATGGTTTATGATAATGGATAGCCATTTCTGATTGGATACTGGGTAAGAAAACATTAGGGTTAGAAAATACACCTTTCTTGCTATAAGTATGCAATGTGAATGTTTAGTTTCACAACGTGCTCACAATTAAATTCACAATAAAAATATAAATACTCATTCAATTAATTCAAGCACATGATAAATTAAAATGGTAAGTCTTAATGTTCAAGAATAGATGTTTAAACTCGTATATTAAAATTGTAGATCGGTAGAATCAATAAAGTAATAATTGCAATTGCAGCCGAAGGGGAAAAAAAAGAAATTTATCGACAAGAAGGACTCTGTTACGTTCCATCTGGTCCATCGATCGCAAAAAGATCCATTAGTGGCAGATGAAACAGCACCACAAAGAGTTCTCGTGCCAGTTGGTAAAATACAAACGGCAAAAACAGAAAAGAAGACAGTAGACGGTGAAAAACGCAAAGAGGAACAGCGAAAATATGGAATTTACTTTGATGACGACTACAATTATCTACAACATCTTAGAGATGTCAATACATTGTCGGTCGAATGGGAACGCATCGAGAATACTAATGTTAAATGTGAAAAGGATGCCCCAAAAATCAACTTACCGTCCTCTGTTTTTGCATCAAATGTCGAGGAAAAAATTGGTATGCTCAATAAAGCAGCACCGGTCTCTGGACCACGATTGGATCTTGATCCAGATGTGGTGGCTGCCATGGATGATGATTTTAATTTTGATGATCCTGAAAATCAGTTGGAAGATAATTTCATAGAAATGGCTAATGCTGGAAGTAGCGATAGCGAGAATTCTGACAGAGAATATGGTACTGTTTAATTTTCCTAAATTTAATAATAATGTCTTGTGCTTATTTAATCTTTACATTTTACTTTTCTAGAATATGAAATTAATGAATCGGAAAATGAATATGAATCTGACGGTAATATGAATTTATCTGATGAGGAGGCAGATGAAGTACATAGCTTAAATGGACCTCAATACACTTTCAAGGATGAAGAAACGAAATCAAGATTTACAGATTATTCTATAAGTAGTAGTGTGATGAGAAGGAATGAACAACTCACACTATTGGATGATAAATTTGAACAGGTTTAGATTTTTATTCTTTTTAATTTGTTACAATGTTATATATATATATATATATATATGTTCTAATTTTTTTATTTATAACTATAGTTGTATGCTGGATATGACGAAAATGAAATTGGTGCTTTGGATTGTGATGAAATAGAAGGATATATAGCACATGACTCAGACCTTATTCTGCAATGTGCTGTTGATTTTGAAAAGAAACAGAAAGAAGCTGTAAGTATAATAGAAGATATAAGTAGAATCGAAAATATAAGTATAATATAAAGAGTACAATAAAAAAAATGTACTGTATTTACAGACGGAAAATATTGCAGAGCTTATGAAAGACAGAATGAAAATAGTAGAAAGAGAATGTTCGAGTTCAGAAGATGAAGATTTAGAAAAACTTGTTGTCAATTCTCGTGAAAAAGAAAAATGGGATTGTGAAAGTATTGTTAGCACATATAGTAACATTTACAATCACCCTAAATTAATTTCAGAACCTTCCAAGGTGAGTTATTTTTAATATAATGCCTGCAAACTTATTTATTCTACTAGGAAATATTTGAATATATAGAAATGTATAATTTTTAATTAAACTTATCGAAACTATATGTTTATTTGTTTATTTTTTTTTTTTAATAGCGTTCAAAGAAGATTGAAATTGATCAAAAAACAGGTGTTCCAAAAAATGTATTAGGCAACACAGGAAAATTAACAGCTGAGGCATTAGCCCAATTTGATGCAATGGATAGTCCGTCAAGAGGTTCTCAATCCATAGCAGAAAGTAGAAAATCCACATTAAGCATTTTAAGCATACGACCTAAAGGAGAAACTTCAGATGCGAAAAAAGAAAGAAAAAAATTGCTTAAAGAATACAGACAAGTATGTAATAGGTTATTATTAAACATTTAATGACTAATTTTATTTACTCGTACAGTATTACACAATTTTTGTGATTTTAGGAAAGGAGGATAGAACGAAAAGCGAACACCGAGGCATTTAAAGAGGAAAAGAAACGTCAAGAAAAAATTAGATTGAACAATAGGCAAAACATTCAGGGAAATCGTATGCTATAAAACTTTCTGTAAAAATAATATGCGTTGTAATGATATGGAAATACAATCTTTACATGTAAAATAAAATTGTATTCTAAATATTATAATTTGTTTATATTTCTCTCAATTTCTTTATTAATTTAAATTCTAATCTAATATGTTACATTGTAATAACCAAAATGGAAAGAGAAGTTAACATCTTTCTCATATTACTTAAAATTTCATTATTAGATTTAAAGGGACCAAGAATCGTGAAATATTTTAATCATTTTGAAAATAAATATTTCAATTTTTTAATAAAAACAGTTGCGTACAGTAGTAACAATAATTTAAAAAAAAAATTGAGCAAGCACGTGAGAGATCACGGGACAACGAAACGTCGTGTTGTAATGTAAGGCGGGACAGAGGACAGAGGGCGGAAGCTCCAAAGTCATATGATCGATTCGTGATAGCTCTGGTTCTCCTCTCATCGCACATCGCAAAGATGGCTAGCCAGACGCAGGGTATTCAGCAACTTCTGGCCGCCGAAAAGCGTGCTGCGGAGAAGGTGTCGGATGCTAGAAAACGTGAGTTTATCGATTCGCATTCGTCGGCAAAAAATTCGCATGAAAAAATGTCTGCAATGTGGACGTGACATTTCATCGCTCGATCACGAGACTTGTAGCCTTTCGGTTTTGATATTAATAATTCTTTTCGAAGATAATGCGTGTAATAAATTTCGATATTTCGTTTGAAACGATGCTACAGAGCATCTAGAGAGCAAATTTTAATTGAAATATTCATGGCATGCTTAATTGCGAGAATTCGGCGAGGACAATCCTGACTAACCTTGATGTTTGTGTCATTCGAGTAATTTAATTCACCAAGTTTTATTTAAATTTTTATAGTCTGATTGAATATATAATTTTATTTAGTGGAGCTTTACCATTTCTCATTTCCTTTGCTTATTTGTTATATATCGATATTCTATTTTAATAATTGTTCAATTTCTGTAGGAACTCTGATCTAAATGTAGTAATATTAATGAAATATACATATATATAGAGTATAGTGAAAACTGTGCTACAAAACATTATTCTATTTTTATTTTCATTTTATTTTCATATTTTGGAATGTAGAATTATATATCTCAAATATGCTTCTAATTTATAACTTCTATTTGCAATTAGGTAAAGCACGTCGTCTAAAGCAGGCTAAAGAAGAAGCCCAAGATGAAATTGAGAAATATCGGCAGGAACGTGAGAAACAATTTCGTGAGTTTGAAGCCAAAGTAAGTATCATTTCTCATTAATTTATAATTATGGTGAGTTTTAATTATGGTGTTAATAATTTTATATCATAAGCTCCAATTTAATTACCAGTATTTAATTATGATATTACTTGTATTACTATAGCACATGGGTTCGAAAGAAGATGTAGCTGCACGTATCGAGGCTGATACACGAATCAAGATAGAGGAAATGAATCAGACCGTCGCTGTGCACAAAAACTCGGTGAGTTTCTTAGTATACACTTTTTTAAGTTAATAAATTATTAAATAAATTTATAGACTTAAATTATAATAAAATTTAGTTAATAATATTAATTAATTAATACAATACGTAGAGAGATAAATCTACATGAGAACATTACAATATTTCTTTTCATTTTTTCTTTCATAATTTAGGTCATGCTTAAAGTTTTGGACTTGGTGTATGATATCAAGCCAGAATTGCACAACAATTATCGCATTGAGGTCTAAGCCGCAGGAATTGCATCTAATAGTTATAAATAATATACTATATATTAATGCTATAAATGTATACATTAAATATTATTGTTCACTTACACCATATCTTAACGTATTTATCGCTGTTATATCGTATGACATGTTATATTTTATTGGAGAAACTATACAGTGTAGCTTTAGACAGTGATACTCAAACTACTACTAGAATTTTTTCCGCAATTGTTATACGACAATAAATGTGTCCATATTATTATTATCGCTGAGCTTTTTCGTCGGCACGTGTTTGGATAGTTTGAGAATTACTGTAATGTATTTGCATCATAACAAAAGAAAAAAATGTAATATGTAATGGAATATCATTCGATGTGTCATGGCCTAGACACATCGGAACGATATATTATCATTAAGCTAAATATGGCTAAAATAACCTAGGGTGATGGTAAAGATTCTTTGTTGTTATAAATGTATTGTATATTATTAGATGTCATTCCATGATTTCTGTCACATCGAGGACGTGAAACTTAAGATTTTTTCCTACAGCTTTTCGCGGTTTACGGACATGCTCCCAGTCAATAGTGAACCACGTAACGATGTAGCAACATTTAAATTTGTTTTATCTTTTAAAATCTATTGAATTTACGAAATGAGTAGGTTTGTCTCATATATATATATATATATACACACACATATATATATATATATATATATATATATGTGTGTGTGTGTATATACACATACCCTATGTAAATTGACTAATTGTCTGCACAGTATTATATAGTGCCCAAAATAAAAAATTAAAGAAAAAAGAATAACTTTAAAATTCTCTTATACTTTTTCCATGTTTTTAAAAACTACTATTTTTAAATAGATAATTGCATACTTGATAACATGTTAATTTAATATAAATTGAATGCAATATAATTTAATATAAATAAACACTTTAAAATGAGACAAGAATTTGTATATTTAAAAATATGATTAGAAGATATTTATTAAATAGTAAATTTAAAATATATTTGGCAAATGTTACATGTAAAAAAACGAGTTTAATAGTAGTATACTAATAGTAATTTATCGATTTTTCAAATTTTATTATTGAATCGATTTATAATCGTGTCATGCTATTGTTTTATCAATTGGTATTGTATGATTCATATAAAAGTTTTATGATATAGTTATTTTTTCACGTTTTGTACAGACAATGCATTTATACAATTATTATTTTATAATTTTATAAATCGGAGCTTAAATTATTTCTTTCTGTTACAACAATATTGTATTTATGACAATTGTAAAAATTTATTGAATTATATATAATCTCAAAAATAAAATTATAATAAATTCAAAATTATATCGCATTTATCTTATATTATTTTATAATATCAAAATTAATGATTAGTCTACTCTTTTCATTATATTTAAACGGACTGTCTCAGTAGAGAGTAGAAAGCTTTTTTAAGAATGTGAGTGTGAGTATGTGTGTGTGTACTCCAATATATATATTTTATATTTTAAATTAAAACGATGTAGGAGAAAGAAGGAGTAATTATATTTTAGAAAGGTAGAAAATATACAACTCGGAAGAATAGAATATGCTACAACGTATATCAAGAAAAATCTATGCAAATAAATAAGATTCTCATTAATTTTAATTTTAATTTTGAGTAATAATTTTATTGAAAATCTTCTCCGAGTTTGCTGAAACTTTACAATGTTTTATATTTTTGTGCGTAAAACGCGAATTTATAAATTAAAATCTGGCGCCTCTTTTGAGAGCGACAATTTTTTTTTTAATTTACAGATTCTCATTTTACGCATAAAAATACACAATATTGTAAAATTTCGACAAAATCTGGAAGGAGTTCTTCTTCAGTGTTCTGCTGCGTTAATCTCTTTTTATAAAAGAATATGCTTCGTCTATGTATTTTGTTGATTATTTATGAGCTAATGATTAAACGGGCTGTGAAATTGCGCCCGTTGATATGTACGTGACTGACGAGTCGTCACGCGCATGCGCGCCGCTTGGCTGCGCGTGACAGCGGCGATCAGCGATCAGCTGTGCGCGCACCTAACCTCCTCTCACTCGGCGCGCCGCGCTCTCGAGCGACAGAACGATAGTAGTACGCGTACGCGTTTCATTTCGTGTGTCTTGTATCCAATGTTGTTAACCACGGCGCTAGCGCCACCCGATAGAGAGCGGCCAGAATCTCGATTCGATTTCGCGACCTAAGCCGCGACAGCGAGGAGCAGTGTCAGTGCGTGTGCCATTCCGCGCCGAGAAATGGAAGTTGACGAGACGTGTTCGTCCTCCGACTCCGATACAAGAGCGAGCACGTTGCCGATATTACATGTAATCGCGCGCGAGTCCGTTGCAGTGACAGCTGTGCACGAACTTGTTCTTTGAAGTTCTTCTTATGACAAAGAAGGTATCACCGGGCACGACCGGTCGCCGACCAGCCGCGTATCCGGCCAAAAGATTGTTGTCATCGTCCCCGTCGAGTTGGTCGTTGTTGTATCGTACGCGTAAAAGTGTTTAGTTTCTCCGTTCGCTTGTGAGAGGAAGTTGCCGGCTAGGGATTAATAGGAGAATTTAAAGGCCGTCGAGGAAAGAGTGATCGCGAAGATGTGGTGTCTCGTCAGCCAAGCCAACTCCGTCATCCTCGAGGTGCAGGTCGATCCGAAGGCCATCGGACAAGAATGCCTCGAAAAGGTGAGTGTATACTTTTGTCCTTATTGACAATCAACACCGTGGTCTCGTCACATAAGACATGAAAATTTATTTCCAATTTTAATCGCTTATATGCATATATGATGATCATGTTCAATGTAAACATGGAATAAAATTATACTTGGTTTTTTCGGATTTTTGATGCGCAAACACACTCGCGTTTATATTGTTTACGATATTCATATTCAACATTCGCAACAAATCAATTTGTTGAAAACAAATATGGATTGTTTACTTAACTTAAGATATCTCGCACAACTTTCTCTCTCTCACAATCAGATATTTTTCGTACAAGCAAGCTTCGAATTCGTTTTAAATTATTCACAAGGAAATATCTAATTTTTCACACGTTTGCATTTTGAATAAAAATCTATTATATACAAGTATTTTGTACATAATATTATATGTACATATATATATATATATATTATATAAAGACTGTGTTAGTAAATTATGTGTATAATACATACAACATAACGATCTTTATTCCAATGAAATGACTTTTAATTAGGAGCTTTAGACGTAAAAGAAACTTTTTTTACTTACCTTGGTAAGAAACTTGATTCTTTTTTTTTAAGAGAGGAAAGAAAATTTTATTTTTTATATAATTTTTTTCATAATTATTTAAGCCATAATTAATTAAAATTCATTTAAGAAGTCTGTGAAGTTAAACTATTCCTTTCGATACGAGTCCGTATGATTCATAGTGCAAATTCATTGCTCGGAGAACTTCGAATATGATTCAGGTCGGGACAATTGTGCATGCTGCAATTTGAAAAGATTGCATCCTCATATTGTTCGGTATATCAAAGTGTAACAAGATTCGCGCTTCATATATGAAAGCGTATAATGAATAGAACAAATAATAACTCAACTTGTGCTTTCAACTTTAGAAAATTGCGACTTTTAATTTGCGAAATGTTTGCTCAATCACAATTTTTATATATAAAGTTATTCTCAATTAGATACAGATTTAGATATAAATTATGATTTCTGAAATTTGTCGGCGCGCTTTCAACAAATATAAAATTATGTGAAAAACATGAATTGCATACTTGCGCTTTTTCAATTAATGATTTCTGCGAATACACGTAGAGTAAATCCGATACAACGCGTTGATAACTGTCCAGATGAACGTAAATACAATGATCTACATATGAAAAAAAACTTTTGCACTCTGGCAAAGTTTACTATAAGCGCCACAAGCGCGTGTACATTCTCGGTTTCGATTAAAAAAAAACTTTGACTCTGTCTCTCTTGCTTGATACTTGCGACTTAATTTCTGTACAATTTCAGAGTAACGTACCAATATTCGGTTGTTTTAATTTGAGAAAAGTCATATACGATTATATTATATTTTGTAAACGTAAAGGATGCTTATATTAAGGAAATACTTTTAATAGTTTCAACTGCTTCTAACTTGAATTAACTACGGAATCATCGAAATATGTTGAAAATTGATCTAGTTTTCACTTTTATTAGAAAAGTGTTTTTGTTTAGGTCGGCTATATCTATTCTTCTGTTTACAAATATTTATAATGATAAGCGATAAAGTTGAAAAATCTTTATTCTTCGTGATTATACTTTATCTCATAGATAAACAGTATATTCGCAATTAGCTGAATGAGTCGTGCGTTAAATAACATAAGTACAAAGAAATTTTGATTTAATTTAACATCCGACTTATTTTCATATATTTACGCATATACACGCTATACATAATATATATTTACATATATGTATATGTATGTGTAAATTTTTAAGAAAAAAATGATGCAGAGGAAAAAGAGAGAGGGGCTTATACTTAGTTAGTGAAAATGTTTAATTTATTACATATATAGGTAAAATAATGAAGTTAACTTACATTATACACGCATAGAAGGGTCTTATTTCAAACTTTAATAATAGTTTATGAACGTTATACTTTGGCCTAGGTCATAATTCTCACGTGCGCAACAGATGTCACGAAAACATATATGGACGACATAAATGTTACTTTGACACTGGTGCCACTGCTTGGTAGCTCCTTTGAAGAAATTTCGAGTTTTTTGAAAAATCCGTTTTTGTAATTCTACTGATTTTTTTTTCGAAAAAAATCCTCTTATTACGTGAAATTTGCATACTTTTTACCGCGAGATATATTAATTCGAGAAATAAGCTATTAGTGAACAGCTGTATCATCATTTATATAGGACAGAATATAAATTAGAAAGTAAAAGTTTTCGTTGCTATTATTTAACATTATTCGCATAAATTTATAATTTACATTGTTTTATATAAATTTACAGTTTTAAATTATTATAATATAATGCATGTGTATATGTGCTACATTATATATACCTTGTACTCTTTTATTTATTACCATATACCTATATACGCGTCGCATGTAGAGAAGGAACCGGTTATCACACACGAAAATAATCTCGAAGGTTGGGATGAGCTGAAAATAAATCTCTAAAGTCTCTCCATGCGTGCATCACGCGTTCGTATAAAATGTTCGTTTTCTTTCATTCGAATAATTCAACGAAATAATATAGTCTAATCTATAGGCACATAATGCGTAATTTATCGAAGATTACAATATTTTTGTATAAGATAGATTTTTGTTTCATTATACGGAAAAGAGAATTATTTTCATTATTTATCGAATTTTGCGAATCTCACGAGTCTTATCATTATAGTTGACATATGGCAGTTTTAATGCTGAAAAATAATTCCTGAAAAATGAATTTTCTTATGAAGAAAAAAATTGCACAAATTTTCAGCATCTTTTGTATAATGATAAAATACTGTAATTTCACTATAGCTTTGAAATGTGTTTATTCGGTACAATTCGAAATTAATGCTCAAACTGTTAATCAGTGGGTTACCGGGAAACTGATGTGCGTATGTAATTTTTAACGAAACAAAAAGCGCTGTTTATTCCAACATTGTAATTACACAAATTATGCAAATTGGAACTACGCGCGCCCATCAAACAGAATCACGCTATGCATCAAAATTGTTTAGTCGGCGTTTGTTAATCTTTGTTGAAGATTGTATTGCGATAAATAAACTCTATTGGTGTGTCCTAAATGACAG